TATCATATATTGCCCACATTAGTTTGGGAATTTTATTTTTTATTTTTTATTTTATTTTATTTTTTTTTAGCCATTATTGAAGATAAGGTATCGCCTCCGTCCTAAGTCGTACTTTTATTTTCTTTTTTCTTTTTGTGCTTTTCATTAATAAAACATGCCACTACGTACATGTGGATTTAATTAAAAAATTAAAATAATGGCAGTTGTTCAGTTTTTGATACCCAATAAATCTCGGGCTATGATGTTAACGTGGGTTAATATTATTTCATAGGCATAGGCCGATGAATTAAATAAGTCTAATAACCAAGTCCATGAGCTACACCCGGCCCAATTGTATTCCTCATGGATGACTTGAATTTTGGCCCGTTTACCCCTTTAATAGCCCAACTTAAAGCCTAACCCTAGAGTATATATTTGGCTATAACTCTAGCCACTTTCATATGATGTTTTGTGTGATTTTGAGAGAAAAAATAGTGAATCTCGACAGCCCCCCTTTTGTGTGAGAGAAAGGTGTCCAGAAGTGTCCAGAACACTTGTATAACGTGTGCAATTTGTGGTTCTTTCATAGTATACCTTTATGGTGTCTTCTCTTAGCCTTTGTGACTATAAATTATCATCATTTCTTGTCCTACGTGGGTAAGATTGCATAGCAACCAAGGTGAATCAACTGGTTGTGATTTGGAGCCGATTGGACTGGTTGTTGATTGAGAAATGTGCGTTGAACTGAGCCTGAAAAATCACCGTTTGAAGATCCGTTTGAGAGAGCTTCCGCTACAATTGGTATCAGGACTTCAAGGTGAAGGTTTTGGCTCGTGAAATCTACCAGAAATCGTCAAAAAATGGGCAAAAACGCAACAGAAATCAAATCGAAGAAGCTGTCCAAAAACTGTTAAAATCAGTCTCCATTTTTTGCGTTTTCTGATCAATCCAGAAGGAGTTTGGGGAAACGGAGACCACTGGCGTGAAGTGCAGGAGGAGGCGAACACTGCAAGCCGGCGCGTGGGGTGGCGTGTGAGGCCCACGTGCAGAGGAAAGAAGCCGCGCGTGAGGGCGCGTGAAGTTTTTTGGACGACGATTTCTTCAGGCAGTTTGTTCTTTACATTATTTCTGACATTTTTCATGTTGAAAGTTTTCTGTTTCAGGGTACGCAAAAGAATCTGGACAGCGTTGTTCTTCGAGTGTTCGGGACTCAATCGTTATTTTTTGGTTGTTGCTGTTTCCAGAGATTTTAGAACAAATGGTGGTGGTCCTAAAGTGATAAATTCGCAACTCTCATAATTTACGGACTCGGATAGGTCCACTCTGGTATATTGGCTTAACTTAGTTTAAATTTCAGCATTAGCAAATCATCGTATGGAGTGATCGTTAGGATTAGGGGTTGTCATTGCTTGGCAACCATTGCTTGTGTTAGAAAATTTAAGAATTATTTGCTCTTTTTTTGAAGTGTTAAGTTTTGATTGGAAGTTGGTAGTTGATTTTGTGCTTTACCTGTCATAAAGTCACTGTGTGAGACTTGTTGCGTGGAAATTCAAACTTTTGTTTACATACTTTCGTGTTGCATTGATTTTCCTGTTAGAACACCTGGACTTGACCCATTCGAACATTCTCTTAATCTAAGATCGTGAATCTTACGAAACTCTGGGAATCTGGAACGGTGTATATTACAGCCGTACGATAACTTTGTGTGACCTATCTGTGCTTTTGGTTGTTCTAATTTTTTAAAAATGTCTTCACGCTTTGAAGTTGGAATTTTTAATGGGAAAGGGGATTTTTCAATTTGGCAACAAAAGATGAAGGCTATTTTGGTCCAACAAAAAGTTTTAAAGGCCATAGATGGTAAATTTCCTGCAAATTTAACAGAAGCACAAAAAGAAGAATATGATGAACTTGCATACACTTCAATTATTTTACACCTGTCTGATACTGTTTTGAAAAAAATTAGGAAAACTAAATTCTACAAAACAACTTTGAGAAAAGTTGGAGGACTTATATTTGCTTAAGTCAACTCCTAATAAATTGTACTTGCTTGAACGATTTTTCAGCTTTAAAATGGATCCTTCAAAGGATCTTGATGATAATCTGGATGTCTTTAACAAGTTAGTTCAAGACATTGTTAATTGTGATGAAGAGGTATCTGAAACGTATAAAGCTATTATCCTGCTTAATTCCATGCCTGATTCATATAGGGAAGTTAAGAATGCAATTAAGTACGGTAGGGACACCTTAAAACTCGAGATTGTCATAGACTCACTTAGGAGAAAGGAAATGGAGATTAAGGCTGAAAAAGAGGATAAGAAGAGTGGCGAGTTACATATGATGAGGAGTAGAATGAAGTTTAAGCAGATGAATTTGGGTAGAACTCAAGATGGTAGTGATTCGAGTAGTAACTCGAGTGATGAGGGTAGTAAGAAGAAGGGCAAGGGACGAGACAAGTCTAGTGGTAGAAGGTGTTACAATTGTGATAAGTCTGGATACTTTATTAGGGACGGTCCTAAGAAGAAAGATAAGTTGAAAGGTAAGATGAGAGGCGAGATGAATTTGGTTGAGGGGTCGACTTATGACCCCAGTGAGGTTTATTAAATGTAAACCTAGTCACTGCATATACATCTGTGTGTGATCCTTTCTACATGTGTGTGATTGTCTAAATTTTGTTGCATGATTATTTGCTATATTTCAATGTGTTTGATATGTGCATTGGCATGAATTTGAGACATTAGGATTACTTGGTGTAATTGCTTACATGCATAGTGGGTTAGGATGCATTAGCAGTGTGTTGTGTATCTTTTGGTGAGGTGGAGTATAGATGTCTAGGGGTACATGGTAGTTTGTACCGGGGATGTGGAGTGTGACATTTGGATCACGAGTGGAGATGTGATCAAATGTCTAGGATCCTTTATCTGGAAAGAGACCCTGATCAGGTGGAGTGTGAGAGAGGCACTTCTATCACTTCTGTTAGGTGGAGACCCATTATCCACGTAGGTTGGGAGAAGTGATGTGGAGATAGAGGATTATCCCGTGGACTTAGGATCTATTGTGACTTACCAATTAGACATGAGTTGAGTGATCTGTCTAGCGAGCTTGGTGGGCGATGAGAAGAGATATGTGTTCTTGAGGTGTGAGCAACAAGGAATGAGATAGGATAAGTGTGGTGAGATCTTTTCTTAGGGTCATTTATGCATGTGTTGCATATGTGGTTGACCGTGGTTTGATTGATTTGGTGTTAATCTGTGGTTCTATATGAACTTGTTTCTGAAAAGATTTATGTGTGTTATCCTATAGTATATCATCATCGCATGTGTATTTGCTCTTGATTGTTTACTGTTAAATATTTGCTTCTACTTGGGTGTTTTTTGACCTTAGCCCCAACGAGTACATGGAGCAAGTATGGTATATGTTTCAAGTTGGAAACACGAGGTAAGGTCTGTGATCCAATTTTATTGGCTACCTTGATTATGCAAGTGTTGACTATATGTTTTGATTGCTTGCAGATTTATTGGATATCAAGGTGGAGATTTGTTGGGTTTTTGATACCCAATAAATCTCGAGTTATAATGTTAACGTGGGTTAATATTATTTCATAGGCATAGACCGATAAATTAAATAAGTCCAACAACCAAATCCATGAGTTACACCTGGCCCAATTGTATTCTTTATGGATGGCTTGAATTTTGGCCCGTTTACCCCTTTAATGGCCCAACTTAAAGTCTAACCCTAGAGTATATATTTGGCTATAACCCTAGCCACTTTCATATGATGTTTTGTATGATTTTGAGAGAAGAAATAGTGAATCCCGGATGCCCCCCTTTTGTGTGAGAAAAATGTGTCCAGAAATGTCCAAAACGCTTGTATAACGTGTGCAATTGGTGGTTCTTTCATAGTATACCTTTGTGGTGTCTTCTCCTAGTCTTTGTGGCCATAAATCATCATCCTTTCTTATCCTACGTGGGTAAGATTGCATAGCAACCAAGGTGAATCAATTGGTTGTGGTTTGGAGCCGATTGGGCTGGTTGTTGGTTGAGAAAGGTGCGTTGGACTGAGCCTGAAAAACCACCGTTTGAAGATCCTTTTGAGAGAGCTTCCGCAACAGCAGTGAATTATAGACAGATAGTTAAATAGACCTGTGAAGAAACTCAGGTGGAATGTAGCTATCATATGTCAATTATTTTCAAGACAATTTTGATTAGTTCGTTCTGTTATTATGGATTTAAGAATTAATCGATTTTACAAAACTGGATAGACACATTGATATGCATAAGCATTGCTAATTTTAGTATTAGAATTAATAAATGAATCAAATATATTCAAGTTAATTAGTTGCAAACTTGCAATTGATCAATTGGGTTGTGCTTAAAAGTTACATTCTAGGTACAAGATTTGCTTCAAATGGCACTACATCAAAATTTAATTATCAAACCGACCAAAACTAAATGAACTCGTCCCATGTTAAAATTTATTATCCAACTACTCAATTGTAAAATTTAAGATAAATAAATAATTTGGTTCTTGCACTTGCTCTTTCCTAATCAGAAGTTTCTCTGAATAGACCAACTTACACTGCTCCAAAGTACCCCTAAATCTTCATTTTTAATAATGGATATCTAAATCAACTGCCTGGTGATTACTAGAGCCAATGGGTTCTTGAATATCCCTGTTAAAGGTTGATGATTGAAATGGAAGGTGTACATTTCCAACTGATACAGCAATTTTTCCTAACATATAATGAAAATTAGACCACTGTGAACTAGATTTGTATTTATCTTGAGTTTCTATCTACAAGTCTATTGTATGAAAACATGTTATGCAAAGTGCGCAAATGATACATCACCAAAATTTATTGATCAACCAAAAAATACAAAATAAACAGGTCATGTGAATTTTATTATCCAACTACTCCATGGTGTAAAATTCATGAAAAAGAAGCAATTTCATTATTGCATGTGCCCTTTACTGATCAGAATTCCCTATAAATAGGCTAACTTGCACTACTCTGAAGTGCACCGAAATCTTCATTTTTTAGCAATGGATGTCCAAAACAACTTTCTGATGATTACTAGCACTGACGAATCTCCAGTCAATGGTCAGGTGGGCAATTACACCCACAGCAAGATCACGCGCTCTGATTTTCCCCCTGATTTTGCATTTGGTGCTGCGACTTCAGCCTATCAGGTATATGCGCCACATATATATTTATTTACCTAGTGTACGAGTATTTAAGTTTTAAAGTAATGAACTCATAACACATTATATTTAATATAAGTAATCTTGTAATTTGCGTCTGTTCTCGCATAATTTTATTTCTCTGGGTCTTATAATTATGCAGATTGAAGGTGGATGGAATGCAGGAAGTAAAGGCCTGAGTAATTGGGATGTTTTCACACAGAAACAACCTGGTCTCTTCCCATTTTTCAATCTTCTCCTGTTTATATATATAGTATAAGACACAAAATCATGTATATCTGTGTTTTACATGTCAATTTATTGGATTGGCAGGTGGCATTTCTGACGGTAGCAATGGCTGTGTTGCTATTGATCACTATAATATGTTCCGGGTATACTTCCAACAATTTTTATTATGTTGTTACGCTTGGCACATTGGATTAAATTAAATGACAAAAAAAGTAAATGAAAAGGAAATGAAACTAAATTCTATTATCAATCGCCGCGGACAAGTTTGATGAATTAAACTTTTTTCATTGTATTGTCCACTAAAACCTATTGTCACTTTGTACTAAAGTTGGACTTAAAGGTTATATAGGAAATTAAATACAATTCTAATTTTACCTTGATTTTGCTTATTTTAAATGAAATGTTTGCTGCTTGTTACTTTCCATATTCCATTTACTCATAAGACTACACAAGACAATATTTTTTCTACTCTAAGACATTTCCATGCATGTTGTATTTATCATATTTAACAATTTGCAGGAAGATGTGGCATTGATGAAGAAAATGGGTTTCAATTCATACAGATTTTCAATTGCATGGACTAGAATTTTACCAGGCACGTTAGTTCAAACTTAGAAAGATAAAATTTGTGCATCATATTGTGACATTCTATTATATGCAAATCAAAGTATTATTTTAATTTGCATTCCATCTTGGTGTATTAGGAGGGAGACTATGTACTGGCGTATGCAAAGAAGGAATTCAATTCTATAACGATCTCATTGACGCACTCTTGGCTGCAGGTTAGAGAGTCAACTACATAATTCTTGTATTTATTGTTTCTTTAACAAGTTTTACTTGCATAATTCACAATTTGAATTAAGTTTCTATATTTGATATATATGCTTTTCTGCAATCATTTTCATTTTATATATAAATATCCTGAAGATATTATTAAATTTCTCACATTCTTTCAATTTCATTTTTTCTTTGTGTAGGCATTGAGCCATATGCAACAATCTTTCATTGGGATATTCCCCAATGTTTGGAAGAAGAGTATGGTGGCTTCCTGAATGATCAAATTGTGTAAGTAACTCAATCTTGCATCACATGGCACAATTACTATTAAGATATTTAAGAAATTTGAAGAGTGAATGCAGCAAAGCTATTATGTGCCCCAACATTATTGAAGAGAAAAGAGTACATTTTTATTTAAAGAAAAATGGATTGTAAACATCTTTTAGACAGATTAAACTACCAGCTTAACAATTTTTACCATATTTTTTGATATATTGTGCCATTTTCTGTATCTATAATGTAGGAAGGATTTTTGTGAGTTTGCGGAGATTTGCTTCTGGGAATTCGGTGATCGAGTAAAATATTGGATCACATTGAATGAGCCATGGTCCTATAGTGTTTCTGGATATGCTATTGGCTCTTTCCCACCTAATCGCGGTAAAGCTCCAACTACTACAGGAGAGGCCAAAAAGATTTCCATCCTTCATAGATGTGTATTTAGATCTCATATTGCTCGCAAGTATGGAGATCCCGGGAGAGAACCATATATTGTTGCACACAATTTGATCTTTCTCATGCTTATGCGGTGGATATATATAGGAGAAAATATCAGGTTTCCACATAATAGTTTCATCAGTAATTTTAAGCACATATACATGTTTATATAATACTTTTAAATATATAGTTTACTGAAATGGATACTTTTGTACGTACAGGAAAGTCAAGGAGGTAAGATAGGGATGACAAATAACATTCAGTGGCATGAGCCTCTTACTGACTCTCAAGAAGATCAAGATGCTGCTACTAGGGGAAATGATTTTATGCTTGGATGGTAATTCAATATCTTGACAACAATCATCCAAATTACTTTCTTCTTAATTCATTGTTGCACCTTTTTTATGATTTTCATGCTAGTTGTGTTCAATGACTTCATCTAAAAGTTTAAACAATTATAGAGCCTATTAAATTCAGCATTCGTCGAACACAAACTAAAATAATTCTAAATTTTCTATTTCAAACTTTCGTCTTTTGAAGGTTTGTAGAACCGTTAGTAACTGGAGACTATCCGGAAAGTATGATAAAAAATGTTGGCAAACGTCTTCCGAAGTTCACAGAAAAAGAGGAGAAGCTAGTGAAAGGATCCTATGACTTTTTAGGCATAAACTATTACACATCTATTTATGCCTCCGATGATCCATCAAAGAATACAACTGAAAGTTACCTCACCGATACACAAGTTTTGACTTCAGGTAATTATTAAGACCTTTTATGGGTATAGTTGTGAATTTATTCATCACATGCTAATTAGACAATATATGGAACATGATACTAATTACTTCCATTCTATTTTAGCTGAACGTAATAAGGTGCCAATTGGTGCAAAGGTATGCATTTAACTCTTGGCCTTTCCTTAAAATGAAAATAGATTGGATTATATTCTAACAGCTTATGGGAGTACAACTTCAACAATTTATAGAAATGCATTGTCTTGTATGATGTAATAGCCATATGATGAATTAAAATACTTCCGATGGCTTAATATATTGCATATAAAACAGTATATAAAAATAAATAGAGTCTTCTTCTCTTGTTCAGGCTGGTTCTGATTGGTTGCACATAGTTCCGTGGGGAATTTACAAGCTCATGTTGGATATGAAGGAAAGATATAATGATCCAATCATTTATATCACAGAGAATGGTAAATAGTTGTGTTAATTTATTAATATGTCAATTATAACTATATAAAGGCATATATTGTAATTTAGACTAATTAATATCTCCATGATTCGTGTAGGGGTGGACGAAGAGAACGATAAGTCCATAAATTGTACACAGGCTCTCTCAGATGATATGAGGATTCACTATCACCAAGAACATCTCTACAACCTTAAAAAAGCAATGGAGTAATTAAATAATTTAATTTGTTGTCGAAATAAATTAATTATGAAAGCATTTACTACATTTTCTATTGATGTTCATGATTTTTCTTTTCTTTTTCAGCGGCAAAAATGGAAAAGATGGAGTAAAGGTGAAGGGTTACTTCATATGGTCTTTGTTTGATAATTTTGAATGGGCTGCTGGATATAGCGTCAGATTTGGTATAATTTATGTAGACTATAATAATGGCCGTTATACAAGGTTGCCAAAACGATCAGCTGTGTGGTGGAGGAATTTCCTCAGCAAGAAGGCTGAAACTCCATTAATGAAAGAAGCTGAGAAACGTGAAGATCGTCGTAAAAGGCTTAGAGGTGACTAATTAAGCTCATAAAAATTAGCGCTTCCTTAATGTTATGTTGAATAATGCATTGTTGCAATTGTTACCTTTAGTTTGTTTTCTTCTCGTCTTTCTTGTGGGTTGAGAAAGCCATATTTCAACTTGCCCTGTTGTGTTCAAATAAAAGGAGCTGGCCAGTGAGGTTTCGAGCCCAACTCTCTGTTGCTTCCAGTTCTCTTTAATTTTATGAAAAATGTGTTGTCCAACGGCTCTAAATGAGATAGCGAAGAAACTTTAAAACAAATAAAATAAATTATAGATTTCCATCCTAACATGTAATTCTTGACTGGAAAAATCCTTTGGACATTATGCACTAGTTCAACTTTCATATTAATTTCGTCATCTCAGTCAATGTTTCTGTATTTGATTTGAGCAGCTTAAATGAGGCGGTAGAATTTAGCCTTGTAAATAGAAAATCAAATTCGAATGGCTTACCCTGCATGCTGTAAGTCGGGCCCCTTTTTTCTTTCCAAGTTGCAACATATGAAGAAAAATTTCTAATTTTTGGGATGATCAATTGTAATTAAAAACAATCTGCAGAAATCAAGCTAAAAAGGCTTTATTACTTTAGTTCATTAGTTATAGGGTTTCCCTAACCCCAATGAGTAATGGATTTCATGTTCTAGAAACTACTGTTACGATTTTATATCCAACAAGTATACGAGTCTTAATAAGTAATTTAGTGGACATTTCAGTCGAGATTATCGTTCTCACGAGTACTATACTTTATAACTTAATCTAATATTTTTTTACTATTATACGACAAAAGCAAATAAAAGTTTGTATGTTGTGATTTTTAATCTAAATACATGAAAATATCAAAAACTGCACAAAAAAGTCGGAGGAAGATTAAAATATGAGATGACATTAGAGCATAACAATGTCATCTATAATCACCTTTAAATCTTAATTTAAGATTCACATCTAATGCAGTGTTCGATCGAATCCTTTTATTGTATTTAATTTGCACCTTTAGAGTTCTCATTAAATCTATTTAACTAATTTAATTCTATTTCTCCATGTGAATCAAGCTTAGTTAAATGAAACATTGGTTCTAAGAATTCATACATGATCGCAGTAATCCACATAGATATATCTACACATTATAATAATTTATCGAATTTTACTAAATGGTCCAAATCCTAAATTCGTCTCTCGGTTCGTAAAAGATTCACAAAATCATCAAATTAATGATCAAGTAATTCAACCAGCACGTGAAATATAAAAAAACAAAAATCTTGAATAGAAGAAATAAAGGGTCACAATAGATTACATTGTTTACCCAAATATTAAATTTAGCTATTCACGGTGAATGAAGAAAAACAAATAACAATGATGGAGTGCATCATTGGGTTTTGAATTGAAATGTAGAGAAGTGGATTAATCTTGCACCGAGTTCATCTTCTCGTTTCAAATCTTGATTTCAACTCCTTGAATTATTGTTTTTCTCCTCTTGAATTTGCTCTTTAATTGTCTCATTGTATATTGTGCTTCTCAATGTGTGGAATCCTCTCAAAAATATCAATGACTTGTATTTATATTCCTCCTCACGTTGGTGTTGAGTATAGGGTTTTTTATGGGCTTTAAAACGAGACAAATCGCATCCTAGATGCATAATCGGAATAGGGCGAAAGCCTAGGAGGTAGCGCCTAGGCGTCGAGGGCAATGCCTGGGCGCTATAAGTGCAGTGCCTAGGCACTGCTCTTCTGTAAAAATTTGCTTCTTTTTGCTGTTCGTAGAACTTGAACGCTTGTTTTTTGGCGCCTGGGCACTAACTTGTTGATCCAAAACTTGTCCTTAGCTTGTTTGTCCACTTTAGTACCCTTTTTACAATACCTCTCATAATCTTCAAAACAACACTAATAAACACATCCAAAACGTTCTATGCTCATAAGATCTAGCAACTAATCAAGTTAAAATTGTGTAAAATTCATGGGTAAAATACACTCGTCAACTACCATCCAAGATGGAGTGGATTTTCCATAAATACAAATATAAAATGTACATGTAAGTGTGTACATACATGTGCCTAAATACCTGTGGGACGTGAAATGGGGTGAAGGAATGAAGCAGCTCAGACCGAAGAAAAAGCGTTTAATACAAAACTTCTAAAAAGATTGTGAAATTATTAATATATAGATTTTCTTCCCAACAATAAATTATGCTAGATTAGATTACTACCTAATTATGGCTTTATGCTCTTATTACTATTACCTTATATGATCCTTTTGAATTATTTAATTTTTAAGTGTTTTTTGTTGATTAAAGATAAGGGTGAGTTCGTTTTTTATTCAACTCAAACCATTGTCAAGTTCAGTTAAATGATATCCATGTGACATGAGCTGGGTGGATTTTGGTATGGACTGAGGTCGATCTTGATATCTGTAATTAACCTACTATAGAATTAAAAGAAAAGAAAAGAAAAATAAAAAATGCTATATGTTACATGTCATACTTAGAAAAGTCTTTTAAATTATTGGTTTAAAAGTCGTTTTTCTTCATTTTTTTGTTAGCTATGTTTTGGTTTTATTTTATCTAATTGTGGTGGTTATCAGATATTTAGACTTGAAGCATATTATCTATTAACCTAAACTGGACATAACTTCCAAAGCTTTACGAGAGTAAACATGTAAAAAATAGAGGTATTTTCTCAATTTAGCTGTACTTTCAAAGCAAAAGCTATCAGAAGACATTCTTCACCATTTTATGTAGAACTGTAAGCCACACATGGCTGGATGTGTATATTGTCCAGTGGAAGTGATGGTAATGATGGAAATCCGATGCTACTAATTCCACCAAAATTAGTGGAAACAATAAACGATTTAACCTAAAAATAAATAAAATCATAAAAATGCAAAAGTATGATAAACAAGAATGTAAGATGGTTCAACAATTGAGCCTATGCAGACCAATTTTTTGTCGTATCAACATGTTGTTGGGATTAATCGCACACAGAGAATCCATACGGAGCACAAATAGTAAGACTTCTGCCACGAAGGCCCAAGGTAGCCAAAACATTGGCTATGTCCCATGAAGCTCCACTTAGCATGGGTATGGTTTTGATCGCTGATAAGTGTCTTTTATGTGTTTATTCGAACTTTTATTCTTATTAATTTATTATTATTTTGAGCGGATATCTACTTAATTTAGGTTAAATTTGGTAAATAATAAGTAAAATTCGGATTGGACAAGTTTGGATGAAATTGAATTGAAATGGTACAAAATTGAGGAATTATAGATCAAAATAATCAAGTCGTGATGATTAGAACCTTTCATGCAAATCAAGAGGACCTGGGTTATATAGAAGCTTTAATTATCAAACACTTTATGAAAATAATCATTAACTTGAACTATTTTTATTTATTTATTTAATTGAAACTTTTATAATTTATAATTTTAATTTTATAGAATTTTATTTTTCCAAAATTTTGTTTCCAAATTTTTTATCAATTTATTTATTTTTATTATTTGTTAGAATTTTATATTTTTCTTCTTTAAAATTTTATTTAAATATAATATCATTTAAACACATGTTTTCATGTTTTGAGTGTTTTTAGAATGTTCATTAAAAATACTTCAAACATCAAAATGCATTTTAAATTTTATGTTATAAGTTCATCATTATTTTCGAAAATGCAATTTCAAAAATACCATATTAAACACGCTTTCAGTGTTTTTAATAAAACTAAAAACTAAAAATAGCTTGAAAAGAAAAAACTAAATGCACCTTAAGGATTTGAATTCAAACTTCAAACCATTCCTTCCATTATACTTTTAATATTTTGCTAGTCGGGTCATCATAAGTGGCGACCCAGATCCATTTCCTAGCAGAGATGTCTAGCAATATAGAGAATAAATAACAGAAATTTTTAGGTAAACTCATTGGTTAATGAATCAAATAACTATTTCTTTTAGCGGATAAAGATGTCCGTATGGTACTAATTAAAATATGATTTTAATTTAAGTCAAAATTAAATAATCAATATTAAGCTGACCTTAGTACTTTCTTGTTTTCATTCTCTTCCCATCTCTCTTTCATTTTTGGCTGGGACGACCCAATATTGAGCTGACCTTAGTACTTTCTCGTACTTAGCTTACTTTTTTTGTCTTTAAAACATATGTCCATGCGAACCCCTAAACGTAGATAATTATTATAGGAAAAAATTCAAGATTAAGAGATTAAGTATCACTCATTTCAAAACTAAAAACAAAGGTTTCAAATTTCAAAAATCGGATATGTATTAAAATTTATTTATGATTTAATTAATTAATTTGTTAATTAAATATATTGAGGTTATAAATATATACAATTTGTTCACAAATTAACGATTTAATTAGTCAGATATTATTTTTCATTCACAAATTAGAATTTTTATATGTCACAAATTATTTTACGGCCACAATTCAAAAACTAGGTCATAATTTGTTCATTGAACACAAATAAAAAATTTAAAACTCACAATTTATTTATCGATCACAAATTAAAAATATTATAGGTCACAATTTATAATATACTCACATATTATTAAATTATCGATACAAATTAACAATTTTTTAGATCACACATTATTTTTTTATCACAATTTATCTTTTGTCATTGCTTACATATTGTTTACTGGTCACGAATTAACCAAATTAATGGTCATAGTCAACCAAATAATTTGTGATCACCACAAATACTTACTACCCCCATCTCACCACTACCTACATCAGCACTACCAATATCTTACCACCACACCTCATCACTAAAATCACCTTACAATCTTTAAAAATAGAAACAAAAAAAGAACCCAAAGAGTCGGCACCGCCACTGCCTCACATTCTGAAACCCACAAAAAGAAACAAAACACAAGAAGTCGACACCACCACATTGTTGTCGCCACCTCGCAATTAAAACAGAAACAAAAACAAAAACATAGGTTGAGCATGACTCAAACAGCACAAAAAAAATTGGTTGAGCACCCCCAAAGCTCCGACGAAGTAGATAGGGGGAAGACAACAACCTAAAAACCCAAAACCATTACCGCTGCACTCCGTCGCCACAACCGCATCATAACTACTAGCATCATTATAGTCCAAACCACTGTATACACCATCGCACACCATCATACCACCACAGATTCACACCCTTTGTGTCAGACACATAGATCATTGACCACCATGAAGTAGCGACGCTCGTTCGTCATTGCTTATAATACACATGTCATCACCGTCTTCTTAATAGATCCGTGGTGGTGATGTCTGCTTTGGAGTGATGTCACTATGATGGTAGCTTTTTGAGCGTCATGTTGCGGTGTCTTTGACGATGATAATGAGAAGAGAGAATGGAGGGATATATAGAGAAAGAAAGGAAATGGTAGAGAGAGAAAAGATAAAAGAAAA